GGTTGTCTGTAAGAGCAGCAATTGCTTTTAACCACTGAGTCATCCCTCCAGCTCCTAGGAAGCCTTTTATTAACTTTGATTTCTTTTTCTTTTTTTGGTGTTTTGAGACGGGGTTTCTCTGTGTAGCTTTGGAGCCTGTCCTGGCACTCACTCTTGTAGACCAGACTGGTCTCTAACTCACCGAGACCCGCCTGCCTCTGTCTCCCGAGTGCTGGGATTAAAGGGGTACACCAGTGCTTTCTTCATGCTTTTTAATCCTGCCTTTGTCTCCATTTGTGTGTATAATGATAACACCAATAAGAGAGAAGTATCAAATATTACCAAGAAGCATATAATACTTGAGGGGTCCTTGCTAGTAAAATACACAAAAAAAATCGCATGTGTGGGTACAGAAGTTTTCTGTTGCTCCCTGCAGAGACTCTGTAACTAGTAAGCAACAATTCCCTACTCCCGAACCCTTGTGTCTAGCTTCTATTAACCTCTATTTACTTTTTATAATTTGCCTATTCTAGCTATTTATGTAAATGGAATTCCATAACCTTTGGCTTTTTGCTTGCTTCGGTTCACTCAACTAAGCTCTGCTGCGGCAAGTCCATCAGAGGGCTGTTTCAATGTGTGGCTCTCTAGTACTCCACTAAAGGTGTATGCTGCATTTTGTCTGTCCTTTCTTGACTGCCACTTGAACTTCCGCCTTTGGCTTCTGTGAATCCCGCTGCAGTGAGTGCTGGCATGGAAGTACCGCTGAGTTTCTGCCTTTAGTTCTTTTGAGTGTATATCTAGGGGAAGAATTGCTGGGTCAGATTCTGAGTCCTTGTTTACTCTTTTGAGGAAAAGAGAAAGCATTTTTATCAATCCTTTTAGCTTGTTTTATCCATGCTTACTAGCAGTGTCCTTAAAAACAATTGCATTGCTAAAGTGATGTATGCAAATATCTCATTATTAAAAAAATTCTTACTGGCATTCTCTAATGCTTTTATTACCAATGAGTATTTGTCTGCATATTAATAATTTACATTCACTCTTTTATGAATTTAAGTGACAGACTTCTTAGAGAATTTGTGTCAACCCCCCTTCAACTTAGCCTGTTTGTTTCAGCTAAAAGTGTGGCTAGATTTCAATGCTGACCCCTATGTGTTGGTTACACCATCAGTGACATGTCACTCCATCTTAGGAGAAACTCGTCTATATTTATAAGGACTCGGTATGACTGAGCAGAGTAAACATAGTTTTAAATTAAGAAGTGTAATTGTGGTTGATCGAATGATGAATGATCACTTATGTATTTGTGGTACCTTGATTTGTGGCATTTTCAAGTTCAATAAGCTTGGGGACTGTATACTGAATTATTTCTAAGGAATGAGAAGAGGGCAGGATAGACTGACAGAAATCAATTCACTCTGTGTCTTATCTTTGTGCAGGTGGTCCACGAACTGGAACTTTATAACACAGGGTATTATCTAGGCATGTTCATGAATTCCTTTGCTGTCTTTCAGGTATGGATAGTTGGCTAAATAATCTGAAAAGATACTAGTGTCTTTTTGACTCTTAGGGCTTTTAATTAATTACTTTTAAAAGATGTATTTATTTTATGTATGAGTGCTCTATCTGCTTGCACACCTTTATGCCAGAAGAGGGCACCAGATGCCACTGGAGATGGATGTGAGCTACCAAGTTATTGCTGGGGATTGAACTCAGGACTCCTGGAAGACCGGCCAGTGCTCTTAACTGCTGAGCCATCTCTCCAGCCCTGATATTAGTGTCTTTTACTGTTACAAACACTTTCATAATTATCATGATGAAGACTAACCTCTATTGAAAGTGTGACTGAAGTTCACTGTTCTATAAATCTAATCTGAGTGGAGAGATACATCCTTTCAGTTTTAAAAGCAAATGGAAAAATTTGCTGATTCATTCTTAGGTTAGTGGAATTGTCACTAAGAACTTTTTTTCTTTTACATTACTATATTTGACTTTGAAAAGTATGTTTGTGTGAGAGAAGAAGGGAAAAGGGAAGACACCCCCACCCACCTGTGTACCTAAATCCCCAAATGGGAGTATGGGGGATTTCTATGATTAAAGAACATTAAAGCTTTGATTTTAATTTTATTTTAGTTAAAAGTTTTTACTAATTTTTTTTCTAGGAATGTGGTCTCTGGGTGTTGACGGATGCAAACCTTATAAAGGATAACATTGATGGTGTTTGTAAGTAAAACCCGACAACATGCTTAGCTGGATATATCTTAGCTCATATATTGAATATTACTTATAATGGAAGGGTACTTTCTGGTTCGACCTGACTGCTATGGCTTAAGTGCGGGACTTTAGAAGTACGTTTGAGATGACAAGGGATGTCCTCTGGGCTCCTGACTTCATCTTTGAAATGGATGCTTTCCCTTTGCTTCTGTAGTTTAGTTTTTAAGGTGGGATTATGGTTGGGATGTATTGGATGATCTTGTGATTTTAATTTGTATCACTAACTGTGTTGTTATTTTGGAATTATTTAAAAGGAACCAATTTTTGAAGCATTAGGGTCTTCTTAGCATCAGTCAAGTTCTGGAGGGTAACCAAGTACACTGGCAGTGGCTTGTAATATTTGGGGGTCTATGGGGACTCAATGGCCAACAAACTCCAAAAGAAGTAATCCATTCTGGGCCCTGGACCTTGAATTTCTTAGTATATGGTGTCTAGCAGGGCATTGTCATTCTGTTATAGGGTAACCAATTTTAAAGTTATGTACATGTGTGTTTGTATACAAGAATGCTGGTGTTCTTGGAGGCTGAAGATGTTGGATCCCGAGTACAAATGGTTGTGAGCTGCCTTACATGGGTGCTGAGAATCAAACTTGGGTTCTCTGTAAGACCAATAAGTGTTCTTCACTGCTGAACTGTTTCTTCTTCCTCTTCTTCTTTTTTTAAAATTTAACTTAGAAAGGAACCTGCTTCATATGTTAATCCCAGCTCCCTCTACCTCCCCTCCTCTCCCAGCCCCCCACTCGCTCCCCATCTCATCCTCCCTCCTCTCCTCAGGGAGGATGAGGCACTCCATGGGGAAATCCCCCAAAGTCTGTCGTATCATTCCAGGCAGGGACCGGGTCTTCTCCCCTGTGTGTCCAGGCTGAGAGCACATCCCTTCACGTGGAATGGGCTCCCAAAGTCCATTCTTTCTCCAGGGATGAATGCTGATCCACTACCAGAGGCCCCATAGATTGCTGAGGCCTCCTCACTGACATCCATATTCTGGGGGTCTGGATCAGTCCCTGTTGGCCTCTCAGTCATCAGTCTGGGGTCCATGAGCTCCCCCTTGTTCAGGTCAGCTGTGTCTGTGGGTTTCATCAGCCCTGTCTTGACCCCCTTGCCCATCACTCCCTCTCTGCAACTGGTTTCCAGGAGCTCGCCGAACCATTTCCTTAGCTCTATTATAATACTCTCTCTCTCTCTGCATTTTTACGGAGGCTTCCAAAAGGTTCCTATCTGACGTTTTGAATTGTCTTTAGTGTTATTTAGCCTTCTACATATTCCCTCTTCTACCCTGACTGACGTCTTACACCTCACCAATTTAACCTTCGTATTCCATTATTCCCCTTTAAGCCTTTACACCATAGCTTCTTTCCTCTCTTCCTTTGAAAGTGCTACCTGTGCCCTCCTACTAATTTGCTGACCTCTGTGGGCATTCCAAACGAAACACACATCTGAAGATTCAAAGCTAACATCCAAAAAATGAGCGAAAACATGCCGGCCGTCTCTTACCCTCTCTCATCTCTGCCTGGCTTCCAGCTACCGTTCTGACCCCCTTGTCCATTGCCTCCTAACATTGTTTCCCATAGCGCCGTTTTTCATGTTGATGCCAGAGCTGACTTAGCAAAGCACGTGTTACCTTATGTTCTTCTTTAGCTTAGACCTCCAGTGATCATTATGTGCAAAATGCAGTCCAAAGCCTTTAGTATGACTTAGGCACTCAAAATCTGAGCCCAAGCATTCCTTCTCTTTGCACTGATGCCATTTTTATCAAGGACTCACTGTGTATTCTGGAGACTGCTTTGTACTCGACTTAGCTTTTTCTTCTTCGTGTGCTGCTCTCTGTCTCAAGACTTAATGAAAGGAAATGTAATGCAGACAGCTTACTGCAGAAGGAGTAATTTCTACTGAGATTCCTTTCACCATTCAGATTCCTTGTAAAGTTAACTATTTTCTGTTCAGTAGACCTTATATATTGTCACCCTTTCATGTTTACTGCAATGTTTCTATCTTCTCCATAGACTGTAAAGAGATTTCATTGTAGTAACCTTTTATTATAGCCTTGGTACCTACCACGCCATGGTGTAATTTTCTTTGAATTATATTTTAAATTAAAATTTCTTGAGACATGGTCTCTCTACATAGTATTGGTTGTCCTGAAAATTACTATGTAGGTATTCACCTGCTTCTACCTCCTGAGTGCTGCTGGCTTTAAAGGTGTACACCACCGTGCTTAGCTCATATTTTGAAATAATTAGACTTACAGAAAATTGAAAAAAGGAGATAAATGACACAAAGTCTGTGTAGCCACATACATTTTTTAGATTGTAAAATCCAACAAATGAACTAACTATAGTGTCTTAGGTTGACAAAATGAGCTTTCAAAGGAGAGTATAAAAGTCACGTGGGTTTAAAAAGTGATGTATTTTAATAATTTAACTTGAAAATAGGCAACTAAACTTTAAACTTTTCAGTTATTGACATGGGACAGAGTACACTGAAAAATATTTTTAGTTCTGAGGTCCCTGTTCATGTGTTTTGGTAAGTCATCTGATTTGTCTGCTGCTCAGGCTTCTTCAGAAAATGAGAGAGTTGAATAAGATAAATTCTACAGCTCATTCTGCTGCTAGGTCACAGGTTCTGGGAGCCAAACTTGCAATACTTTCTCTCCAGTGCCTTTTCCTTCCTCACCATCGCCAATGTTTGTTGCAGATGATACCGCAGAATATTTTGATCGGTCTGCGGATGAAAATGAGGGAAACTGGATTGGTTTTCAAGACTTTTCTTTGGTTAGCAACCCACATGTCAGGAAACATTTTCCAGAAACATGGATTTGGCTAGACTCCCACATGGGGTAAAGATTTGTAAAGTTCTTTGTTCATTTATGTTTCACTTAGTGTATATTTTGGGGAATACTTGCCCACTTTCTAATGTGTTTGAAGCATAAATATTATGTGTTGATGAGCTAAGTAGATTAAGGAGGTTGGGGTTTCAGTGATGTTGAATGAATCTAACTGTAGTGTTTGGTTGAGACACATGCAGATCATGGCCATAAAGTATTAGCAAGGACAGAGTGAGCCTTTGTAGAATGAAGGGTGAATTAAACTTCTTTGAAGTCTCCTGGTTTTTGTTGGAAGAAAACCTGTAACAGAATTGATAAGAATTCAAACAAAAACAAACACCCACAAAGTTATCTGTAAATTGAGAGAGGAATATTGGAGTAAAGCTTAAAAACATATTTAAATAAAAATTTGTGAAAATATAGTAATCAATTTTGAAGGTGTGAAGTTTGTAGAAAGATTTTGTTGGAGCACACAAAGTATAATGCTATAAAGTATTTCTTGAGAAATTGAAATGCTACATGATTTTAAACTAAGATATGTAAATGATATATATGAAAATTAAAATTCTTCTAAAATTCTTCCAAAATTTGTAGTTATGTTGACTTATTTGGAATTATGTGAAATCTTGGTTTTGTAATTTCTGCATTTGTCTTGACTTCAGATCCAAGTTTTACCAAGACTTTGAAGTTACTGTACCCGATTCCATCACTTCCTGGGTGGCTTCTGCTTTTGTGATCTCGGAAGACTTGGGTCTTGGGTTAACAACTGCTCCAGCAGAGGTAGTTACAGAAGGAGGTCTCTCCAGTCTGATGAAACCAATGAGGCTCAGAAACAAAAGACTACCCAGCTTTATTTATCACAGTTTACTGTGCCTTCACCCTTCTGCTTTCATCTGTGTTACCATCTTTGAAAACACTATTATTATTATCTACACATTTATTTGTTTATTTTTTGGTTTTTCGAGACAGGGTTTCTATGTATTGTTTTGGAGCCTGTCCTGGAACTCACTCGGTAGACCAGGCTGGCTTTGAACTCACAGAGATCCGCCTGCCTCTGCCTCCTGAGTGCTGGGATTAAAGGCGTGTGCCACCAACTTATTTATTTTATGTGCATTAGTGTTTTGCCTGTATATACGTCTGTGCGAGGGTGTTGAATCGCACAGAACTGAAGTTACAGACAGATGTGATCTGCCATATGGGTCCTGGGAATTAAATCTGGGTCCTCTGGGATAGCAGGGAATGTGCAACGCTTTTAACTGCTGAGCCATCTCTCCATAAGAACAGCAGATATTCTTAACCTGTGATCTATTTCCCCAGCCCCTATTTGGTTAAAAAATTTATTATTGACCTGATGTAATAACTTCCAATGGCCAGATTACTTTAAAGATGAGCACAGCTTCTCAAAGCGTCTCCTAGTAGACAGTCCTTCATGTCTGTGCTTGGGAATATGAGGATCATGAATGGCCTTAGCCCAATAGGTAGCACTCCAATTATACTTGAAAGCATCTATAACAGATATTTTATGTTGCCTCATTACCATTCTCAAGTGAAAGTTGTAGAAATCAAAGTGCTTTGGGTTTGTATATGGAATTGTGGAAGTTCAGGTGGTTTAAATAGATTCTTTATTTACATGAATATCTGAGCAAATATTCAATATCTATATAGATACTTACTTGACACCTTCAATTATAGGATCTGTAGAGTCAAATGCACCAAGCAACACATTATGTTTCTATGTTCCAAATAACAAATCACATACTAATAATAGATAAGTCAAGAATCATGAGGAATACAAGACAGTAGTTGTTCATTGTTTGGGACAATCCTAAGTATTTACTGTAGATCTGCTTTCCACAAAGTGCCACTAGTGCCCTTCAATCACTGTGACCATCTAAAATGTCCAATGTACAAATGGCCACCTAAGCCTGGCAGTATGTTCAACCTTTTGACATTTGTGAGATGGTCTTGGCATCTACAAAGTTCACAATTAAGAAATATGCAACAAAATTTCAAAAAAATAAACATCTAGATAAAACCTTCTATGTTTAATTTTGTATTGGTCCACCTTTGTGTTGGCTTTGCCGGCATATGGCCCACAAGGGCCTGGGCTGGACATACCTACTAGAGGGGCTTACTTCTGTTGTTGAGACCACTGGCTTAAAGTAACCAGGTTCAATTTCAGGTAGGGGAGTGGGGCTTGGTCTCTCCTGTAGGTTTGGTAACAGTTTCAGAGTTGAGTCACCAAGAGGCAGATAGGTGTGTCTGTGTACATGTGAGAACACAATAAGCAGAACATTGCTGGGTGGACCACATTGAGATTTCCCCACATGAATCTCAAGCAGGGACTGTTTGATTGGAGAGTTAACTTTTGAAACAAATTATGGAGTCAGTACAGACTGAATAACAGAGGGACAACTTGTTTTGGTATCAGAGAGAATGGGATATGGCTCTGGCACTTTCCCTTTTAAGTAATATGAGCCTGTAGTAGTCTCAGAGATTTATGAACACCATTTCTTAATAGATAAAAATGGAACATAACACCCTTATAGGGGTGTAATGATTGCATGAGTAATTTATGGAGTGCTTGGTCTCTGCTGGGTCCTTAATGTAGTACAGTGGTTACTACGCTCAATAACAGTCAAGTCTTTATTTGGTTGTTAATTGGTGTTGGTTGATAGGCCAGAGGATACCTCTAAGTGTTATAGGCTATACAGGATATTGCTCTTAACTGTATGTAATTGGAAGCATTTGTGTCTGAATTAAAACATATTCATTGTGTTCTTTCTAGCTGCAAGCCTTCCAACCGTTTTTCATTAACTTGAATCTTCCCTACTCTGTTATCAGAGGTGAAGAATTTGCTTTGGAAGTGACCATATTCAATTATTTGAACGATACCACTAAGGTAATGCGCCCAAAGTTTTGTTGATTATTTACACTTTGAGACAAAATAGAGGATGGAGAATCAATTGGTTGCATGGTACTTGAGCATCAGGGTCTCTGAGCATTTTTTTTTAACTTAACTTTTTTGTTTTGGCTTATGTATGTTTTTATCCTTTTAACTTGGTAAGTTACATGTTTAGAAAAATTTATTCTTTGACAACTTCACACCTGTATATGACACATTCCTGGTCACACTCACTTCAGCCTCTCTCATCCTCCTCCTCCTCCTCCTCCCAGCAGGTTTCTCCTCCAACTTCCATGTCTTTTCTTTTTCTTTTTTGTATCGTGGCTCACTTGCTTTTAACAAGGGCCACCACATGAGCACGTGTGTGGAGCTGTTCACCAAAGTATAGACAGCTTTCTGGTTGCTACACCACTGAAGATAGGGACCCTCCCTCCCTCCACAGTCATTAGAACTTCCATTAGCTCCTTAAGGATGGGCTGGACCCTGTGAGTGCCTTACCCAGTCGTAACTGAGTGTTGTTGGCCAAGTCTTGGCATTAACCTCTGTTCATTGCATTGACCAAGGCTGAGGACAACACTAACCCATGGGTATAAACAGAGAGTAGGCCTCAGGAATAATCAGGAGGCAGTTGGTTACAACTATAGCTGTCAACCCACTGTTGCCCCAATGGGCAGATCTTGCCTGACAGATGGTGTTACAGCATACAAGATCCACATATGGGCAATTATTTTAGTTAGGGCAGCTCTTACAAAGGAAAACATTTAATTGGAACGGGCTTATAGTTTCAGAAGTTAAGTCCATTATTGTCATGGTGGGAAACATGGCAGCGTGCAGGCAGACATGGGGCTGGAGAAGAAGCTGAGAGTCCTACATCTTGATCTGCAGGCAAGAGCAGGAGACTGTGAGCCACACAGGGTGCAGCTTGAGCATATGACTCCTCAAAGCCCACCATCACAGTGACGTACTTCCTCCAACAAGGTCACACCTACTCCAACAAGGCCATCCCTCCTAGTAGCGTCATTCCCTATGAGTCTATGGGGGTCATTTTCTTTCAAACCACCACAGTAATGTCATTGATATTTTTTCTCCCTAATTTACCTACATAGCAGCTTTTGGCATTATGAGGGTTAGCCAACAAGGAGGAAGTTTCTGGCTTAGTTGTAGCATGATTTTCTTTGTAGGATAACTAAAGTGTGTGGTATCTTGAGCAATAGGGTCTTACCAAGACAATGGAAATAACCTATATTTTTCTGGGGTCCTTTGGTGCCTCCCTGACCAGTGACTCTTAGGGAGCTATCACATGTCTGACACTCCTCCAAGCATTTTGTACTTTGCTAGGAGATTGAAAACATCTTCTGCTTATTAATGTCTGTGTCTGTCATTAGGATCTTTGCATATTCTCTTATTTTTCCAGTACATATCCTTCCATTGATCCCAGTAACTTCCTTTTAGTCTTGAAGATATGCCTTTCTCTCTTCTATTTCCCTGCGTTTCCTCCTGGTCTTCGGTATCCAGAACGTGTTTTTTATTCTTATTACCATTTTGTACCTGCTGCAGTTGGTAAGAATTTATTCTCTCTGAGACAGATGGCAGCCAGGATTCTTTTCCTGAGAAACTTCACCCACTACTCTGTTATGTTTGTTGTCTCCATGGTTATATAGAGTATTATGTGTTCAGGGACTTATTTTGTGAGTCATGTTCCTGTGTCTCCTTAGGCAGTTTGCTGGAATGCAGGGCTTAGGACTTATCTACTGTTCATGCTGCACTTACAGTTGCCTTAGCCAAATGGTTTGTTTTCTTATTATCTGAGATGCTGTACTGTCTTTAAGTATGCACAACCTGCACAGTAAATCAAAATGCTTACTTATTATTTTTTTCATGTTGCAGATTAAATGGGTACAGGTCTACCACTGAGCTATTCGCTCAGGTCCAGCCTTTTGTTTTCTAACTGTATTTTTAAAATAATTTATTTATTCTTTTACATTTCATTTTATATTCCAATCACAGTTTTCCCTCCTACTCCTCCTCCTGCCTCCACCCCACCTCCCTCAGTCCATCCCCACCCCACCCACTCTTCCTCACAGGCAAGGGCTCCCATAAGGAGTCAACAAAGTCTGGCACAATAGGTTGGCGCTGGCCAAGTCCCTCTCCCATTCATTAAGGCTGAGCATGGCATCCCACCATAGGGAGTGGGGTCCAATAAGCTAGCTTATGTACCAGATTTATATCATGGTCTTACTGCCACTGAGCATGGCATCCCACCATAGTGCTTTGTAATGTGGTCAGAATGTTATAGTATAATAATGAACAGATTGAGAGAAAGCCTAATATCCAGTTGACCAATCATTAGCAGATAACTTAATGTGATTAGAGATTCTTTATCTATTTTATGAGAATCATAATCACTATGCAAAAAAGTTGTCATGAGAAAATAAATTGGAAAATACTTTGTGAAATGTAAGGCCCATGCTCGTTGTAGAGGGAACCACCTATAATCCTAACATTTGAGAGGCAGAGTCAGGGAGGATTGCTGCAAGTTTGAGGCTAGCCTGGCATACATAATGAATTCCAGGTTTACAAACTCAAAACCCTCTCATACCTCTGGGCATAGTGGTGTATAACTTTGATCCCAGAACTTGGAGGGAGTGGTAGAGGCAGGAATATCTCTGTGAGTACAAAGCTAGCCTGATCTACATAACAATTCTCAAGTCAGCCAGAACTACACAGTAAGACCGTGTCTCAAAAATAAAACAAAACAACAAAAACCTCAAGCCTGGAAGAATACTATTTAAGGAGAATAGAAAGTTTTGTCATTTTAATACACGTTTGTAGATTAGATATGTTTTAGAGCTGGCAGTAATAGTGTATGCCTTTAATCCCAGTACTTGGGAGGCAGAGGCAGGTGGATCTCTAAGTTCAAGACCAGCCTGCTCTACAGAGAAAGTTCCAGGATAACCAGGGCTACATAGAGAAATCTTGTCTAAAAAATAAAATAGAGAGATATGCTTTAGGACTTATGTATTAACCACACCTTTCATTGAATAATTTTTGCAGAGACTCTCAGTAGCTAAAACAATATTTCAACTTATTTGTCTCGTGCTTCCCTAATGGGACCTGTATCTCCTAGGATGGAACAGTTAAATTAAGTGGTGTTGAAACTATATTTGCAATGACCTTTTTGTGGATAGTCCCATCACTCCAGGGCCTTGTGTATCAAGTTAGTGAAAGGACTGGAAATGAAGCCAAAGAATGCCTTTCCCCAGTTGTATCTTGAAGTAGATAGGGAATGCATACAATAAATCTGATTTCCTTTCTATTTTTCCCTAATCTTGGTCTCATTTTTCTCCTGCTTTGAGTCTCATACTTGTAACAGCACTTAACACAGTGACAGAAACTCTGCAGAGGAGCATTTTTTTAATACTTAACTTGGGGTTTTGTATTTTCCTTCCCAGGTTGTAGTGCTCATTGGGGAAAGTGACGACTTTGATGTTATAATGTCTTCAAGTAACAGCAATGACACCATGTACCAGCAGGCTGCTCTGGTTCCCAGTGAGGATGGCGTCACTCTGCTTTTTCCCATCAGGCCAATACAGTTGGGGGAAATTCCCATCACAGTGAAGGCTGCCTCACCCACTGCTGCTGATGAGATCACCCAGAAGGTTTTAGTAAAGGTAAATATTTGGGTTATAAATGGATATAGTAGAAACAAAACGTGGAATTGAAGGGCAAATGGGAGATGGTGTTTGTGTGTCAAATTTGTTGCAATCCTAAAATGTCCTCTCCTCCACCCTCTTGGTAATACCTAGTTGTTTTCTCATCTGTTGGTAGAATATAACAAATGCATGCTATAAAAATATTGCCATTTTCCTCTTTAAGTCTGAGTAAGAAGCATGACTATTATTAGGACTCTCGAGTATTTTTAAGTAGTCATTTACATCCACAAACTGTGTTGTATTGGGATCCTGTTGGATCATGGTCAGGTTCATAAGTTAGAGTGGGCATTTTGGAACTCCTCCAAGTAGACTTTGTAGACTTTTTTGAGAGGACATTGTGCATAAAAGCACAGCCCAGCATAGATGGCCACTCTTGCTCTGGGGTGGAATTACCTTGGTTAAACTGATTTCAGTTAAGGTTATTTAGTGTCTCTGTATAACAACAGATAATCCACTCCTTAGTGTTTTCTTTGACACCTTTTCCCATTGTCATTTCCATTTCCATGAAATGCTTTCCCATTTTAACTAGAAAGCACATGCTTAACTCATTTGAAGTCAGAATCAAGAAACAGTAGGTAGGTACGTACTTGTGTGGCTGCATCCACAGCGGGCTAGGTGTTTGTCTTCCTACTTGCACACAATTCTCCATGAACAGATAAAGCAGTCATTGTGCTGTGTTCCTTTCTCCACAGGCTGAAGGAATAGAGAAGTCATATTCACAGTCTATCTTACTGGATCTGACCGACAACAAAGTACAAACTATCCAGAAGACTCTGAATTTCTCATTTCCTCCAGACACAGTCAATGGCAGTGAAAGAGTTCAGATCACAGCAATTGGTAAGAGTAGTGTGTGTTACCACGCTCTGGTTGATTTGCATGTGCTAATATCTTTTCATCTATTTATAGATATATTGTCTTACTTAGGCCTTATGGGAAGAGATTGTGGAAGGTTTTAGTTGGTGTCAACTTCTGTGACTTAGATCAGTGCTTTTCAACGTGCAGCACGCACGTGGAGGTCTTCCTTGACAAAGAACCCTGGTTTAGTATGTCTGGGGAGGGTCTGAACTTGGTACCTCTTCCCCCTTCCTTCCTCCTCCCATCTCACTTAAACTTCCTTCCTTTTTCCCCAAGATAAAAAACTGGGTACTATGCATCCCAGACAAGTACTTTACTCCTGAACTATATCACTGGATTTGTTTAATGAGATAAGGTCTTGGTATGCAGCCCAGGCTAGCCTTGCCATCCAGATCCATGCATCTCAGCTTCTTTGCTGTGATTCTAGGTATGCTTTACCATGCCTGGCTTGACTCTTTGAATTTCTGAGGTGATGGTGGTGCTTCTGGGGTACAGATACACCGAGTAGCAAGGCCACAAGCATGGTAGCTAGAGGGAGGAGTGTCTTATACAGCAGAGCTCCTGGACTCTGTGACTCTTGGCTACCGCTGAGGATCCTAATTTTACATAAAATGTTTTAAAACACAATTATCTGGGTTTTTCTCTAAACCTACTAAGTTAGAATTTCTTAGTCTATGGTCCGGACAAGTATAGTTTGAAAACTTCTCACCAGGGAGTCTGGTAAGCAAGACTTGAGAGCCCTTGCCTAGAACACTTTTCTTGGAAACCTTTACAGTAGGAACGTTACTTACTTCTAGTTACCTTAACCTAAAATGCTTTTAAATTAAACACAGCTTTTCCAGTGCACCAAAGTCTCCTTCAGAATTAAATGTCAATTCCCACCATTTTGATTTAAAGGAACGTTTAGTTTATACCCTGTCATTATTAAGGCAGAAGCCTCCCGACTCATCACATAATCTACAAGTTCAGCTCTGTGGCATTGCTCTTGCTTTGGTTGTGTCTTGGCAGAAGCCTCCCGACTCATCACATAATCTACAAGTTCAGCTCTGTGGCATTGCTCTTGCTTTGGTTGTGTCTTCTCTGCCCCACTTACTTCTATGAGAGATGCCTGTACTGAGCTGAGGCTGCCTAGGCCAGCAGGTAAGAGTGAGCGAGCATTACCCTCTGAACCAGTGCTTTGTGCTTTCAGGAGATATTCTTGGTCCTTCCATCAATGGCCTGGCCTCACTGATACGGATGCCTTATGGTTGTGGTGAACAGAACATGATAAATTTTGCTCCAAATATTTACATTTTGGATTATCTGACTAAACAGAAACAGCTGACAGATGATTTAAAAGAAAAAGCCCTTTCATTTATGAGGCAAGGTAAGCATTAGATGCACACTTTTGTTAAAAAACGTTTGTGTTTTATAGGTCAGGGTCTCTCTAGGCCATGTTTTCGAACAGATGGGAGTCATGTCTGTATGTGCTTGGTGGCACCAGACGGTCCTGATGTGCTGAGGTCGGGCAGTGGGAGGTTCCTCTCGTCTTCCTGAAGCCAACTGTTCTTTAACGGCTGCTAATTCCAAACTCTTTAAGAACCAAAGAGGAATGAATGCTCATTTGTAGTCGTTTATTTGCTAGTTTTCCTTGAGACAGAGTCTTATGTAGCTCAGGTTAGCTTCAGGTTAGAACTGTGTGTATGGAGTAGATGGTTGCACCTCTGAAAGTGAAAGATGTGACTCTATGAGCTGTGACAACTGCTCAGCTGTGGTGACCACCCTCATAGCAAAGTTAACCTGGGTTGAGAGACAGTAACCAGCGTGAGCTGTGCCAATCCAGGTAGGACTGAGTGGGAACCAAGGGTCACACAAAGAAAAGGTGACGGCCACAGAGTTTGGGATCTAGCTGAGTGCAGCCTGAGTTCTCATGTTTTCCCTCCATTAGGAGCATATATGACGCGGACATTCTGACTGGCTCTCCAACCCAGCAGCTGATAAAGGCCCCCCAGGAAGTTATGAGAGATCTAGCACCTGCTACTTTTTATATAGAGGTGTTGATTTAAAAATGCTATTCTTTTAGCTGGGAGGTGGTGGCATATGTCTTTAAGCCCAGCACTCTGGAGGCACAGGCAGGTGGATCTCTGTGAGTTCAAGGCCAGCCTGTTCTACAGAGTGCATTCCAGGATAGGCTCCAAAGCTACACAGAGAAACCCTGTCTCGAAAACCAAAAAACGATTCTTTTAATGTATATTTGTAGATCATTTATATTTTAAATGTATATACACAGGAACTATTATTTTTGAAAATTCTACTATAATTAGATTTAAGAAGGGGTATCAAGTGTTGTCTGTGTTAAACCATGGCATGTTGATTTTTAACACCTTGGCTTAAGAGTCATAGTAAGGAGATGCATAAAAGCTGCAGAGGAGCGTTAAAACTCTGTACTTTCTGAGAACAAGATTTCTAGTTTCAACTAGAAAGTACATACAGATTAGATTGGCATTTTATAATTTGATATGAATTCATTGTTATATTTTAATAAAGCAAAATAGCTCATAAAATGCCATATAATAATTTCATGTTTAAGTGTGCTTTGTGAACTGTAATTTTAGATGATCAAATACTTTGAACTCAAACCTTTAATTTTTATTATGTGCATATGAGTGTTTTGTATGCATGTATGTCTCTGCACCACATGTGTGCCTGGTGTCTGTAGAGGCCAGAAGATGTCAGATCCCCTGGGCCTGGGGTTACAGATGGTAGTAACCTACCAAGTGGGTATTGGGAACCAAACTTGGTTGATCTGCAAGAGAAGCAAGTGCTCTTAACTGTGGGGCCATTGCTCCAGCCCTGTAAATTCTATTTGAATGACTTGAGCCACTCAAAGAACTATTCATCCCTTGGAGGTGACTTGGCTTGTCCCTGTGATACTTTGCTTAGGGTTCTGACAGCTCAAGACCCAGTCCTTGCTCTTTCCCGAAGACAACACTGCTTGGTTGCTGTCAAACCAGCTTTTCAAAGCCAGCTAGAGATGAACCTCATGGTTTGTTTTTTTGCCTAGCATGACTGGGGCCCAGGGTTTCATCCCCATCCTGGAAACAAGGTTCCAAGTAGCCCTCTGGGGCTCTCTTCTGATGCTTATTGGTTGCTAGAAGTACATTCAGCCAGAGGGAGAGAAAGCTTTGGTCTGGTGTCATGGGAGAAAGGAGAGTGCCGTGGTTAAGACACTAGCCGTGGACACTATCTTGGGTCTGTTTCCTCAGCTACTCAAGAGTCTCAGTTCCCACCCGTAAGATGAAGTAATGAAAGTGCTTAGGTTGTATTGAAAGACCAGGAGTTAGAGACTCCCTGTTAAGCAGAGAGATAGGAGAGGGGCCAAAGCTAGGTAATAAAGGTGCCAAATTTTCAAAATGTTGGGTTTCTACCTCACCCTCCTGATTCAAGACAAAAGCCTAGCAGCTTAAAACGAAGGCCTTGGCTGGTGGCGCATTCCTTTAATCTCAGCACTCAGAAGGCAGAGGCAGGCAGATCTCTGAGTTTGAGACCAGCCTGGTCTATAAAGCTAGTTCCAGGATGGGCTCTAAAGCTACAAAGAGAAACCCTGTCTTGAAAAAAACCAAAGGGGAGGGGAGGAACAAAACAAAAAATGCCAAAGACTTTGTAGGCTTTTGTCTTCCACAGCACCCCTGGGCCAGTGAACCATCCTGTCTGTCTGCAAACTGACCGACCCTAAGTGAGACTCTTTAAAGCCACAGTCCTGGGGAGAGACTGAGTTTGCAGCTCCTCCTCTGGCAAGGGTCTCTTCTCTGTGTGCCTGCTGCGTGTGTGTTCCCTTACCTCAGTAAAACCCTTCTTTGGCTGAGGTGTTTGAGATTTCTCTCTTACTACTGGTTGCACTTCAGATTTTTCCTGCCTTTTAATTCCTTAGCTGGCAGAGAATAGGAACTCTATTCAAGACCCGAGACTGTATCATTTTGGGTGATTGTTTTAGCCATCTCCTAAGACTGTATCATTTTATATTCTTCGTTTAACACCATTTAAAACTATCTCGATTATTATCTGTATTAATACTTCAGTGGTGTGTTTAATTCTCTCTTCACTGTATGACCACGTGGGCACATCAGTGAGTCCTGACTGGGTGGATGAATGATCACCATCAACTTCTTGGACTTTTAAATTCATCCTTCTAGTGTGGAGGTCAGGGTTAGGGGAGTTCTGAAGTACTTCCATAGTGCAATGATTATCTGGAGACACTAATCATTCTACCTAGCCTTGGCATGTCCTTACCAGCCAGAAGTGGGACCCATGTCTCTGGCTTGCCCGGCAGACTCCATCTGAAACAGAGGGTAAATGTCTCCTGACATCACCCTTCATTGTGACATCAGAGTCTCCCTTTACAGATTATCTTACAAGTCTTGTAACTATAATGTAGTTTTTATTTTTTAAGACATTAATGTAGTTTTCATGTGAATAATGATGATTTAAATGTCACTTGGGAACCGCACATTGTCTTATTTAAGTCTTGTAAGCAACCAACAGCTACATCATTGTATGAAATAAATTTTGTTGTAGAATATTATTTTAAGGTCTGTTACTTTTGTTTATGTTCTGGAACATTTGTTTAATGATGCAAGGATGTGTTTTGTTAAATAAGATTCACCTGCAGTCAGGAGACTGCGTCAGCAACTAGCTAACAGCAAGTTGTAGGGAGGAGCCAGGTGGAGAAGGGTTTATAAGGAGTGGTGGGAGCGAGAATGAGAACTTCTTAGGAGACATGAAGAGGTGAGCTGCTTGCTATTGGCTCTCTGTGAAGCAGGATTCTGCCTCACTCTTTGAATATTGAGTTCTTCATTGGGACAGAGATTTAAGTAAGTTTTCTTAGTAGCTTTGAAAGAGTCGGTGGTTGAGGGAACAGAATTACCTCAGGCTCTTGCGGTCTAGCAACTGCTGGTAGCAGCAGAGTGGCAGTTGCTGAGTTGGATAGCTGTAACTTAAAAGGCTGAAACAATTAAAAGAAAAACAACACATTTTGCTGTCAAGAAAAGAAAGTAGGACTGAAATATGAAACTGTTTCTGACAAGGACAGGAAATCCTGAAACTGTTTGGTAATTGAAAGGTTAAATCTATTATTTTCCTCAGATAATTTTTTAAATTAAATTTAAATTAAAATTTTAAAATTAAATTTTGCATATGTGGTTGTCTAGGTGTGGGTGTATGTGTGTGTAGAGTTCAGAGGATGACTTTTGGAGATTGGGTCTCATTGTTCCGATGTGGGTATTGGGAATTGAACTCACATCCCCTCAGGCTTGGCAGCAAGTGCCTTTATCTGTTGAGTTAGCTCCGTGATCCGAGTCTTCAGATATTTAAATCACAATGCCTGCTGTTTGTTTTCCATGTAAGACTCTGAGTCTAGTTGAAAACACATGTTTTTCTCTGCTAAAATATTCTCTGCCTTCCTCTCAGAACTGAACCCTAAGCCTGGGAAAGCACTATATTGCTGAGCTCCACTCCAGCCCTGGGGTGTTCTTTTTTTATTTGTTTCTGTAAGCAGTACTTTCATCCTTAGTTTGATAAGTTTTGACTTCACTTTACATCCATGGTTAGTCCAAAGAAAACTCATGATTCAGGAAATTTTGCATCGTATCCAGCCCATTGTAAATAGCAGTTTAGAGACTGTTATCCCAACAGCTTCATGACTTGTATATTTTAATTTTCAGAGATGTTTGATAATTCTGATTATATTATTATTTTCCAAACCAAAGAATTATGTGTAAAACAGTGAACTTGAATGCAATGCTCTTATCTCTTGGTGAACTTTTGGAGAAAACCAAACTTTTGACTTGCTCATCTATCATGAAGAAAAGTCTCCAGTTTTGGTACTACAGTGGGATGAAGATGGTTATATTAACAATAAACATCATAGCTATGTCGTTGGTATCTTTTTCTGCTACTAGAGTAGAAATTAGGCCTGATATAGGTGGTTGCTTGGAGGACAAACAGCCAAGGGTTCTCTAAACATGCATGGCCCAGCTTAGAATGAGGAGGGGAGTCTCAAAAGAGACTCAAAAGAGTTGGAGAGTCAAACCAGCTCTTCTCCCAGTCGATGGTCCCTGTGTTTCCATCGGAGCAGAGCTGGAAGTCTGGGATCTGTTTATTAATCCACTCTGCCACGGAAGATGATGCAGCCTCTGGATCAGCTGCCTTTAGTGGGGGAATGAGGACTTTTGACACTGATGGGGAATGTTGGGGGGTGGCCTCCTGTGCAGTAATTTCCACAAATGCTGACGTCATGCCTTGATCTCAGCTTTAACCAATGTATAGTATCTCATCAAAAGGTTTTTCATACCTAGTGAGCATAAAATAAAGATTTTCTATTAATTATTTAGCAGTAATAATTTAGGTGTAAACATGAACATTATAACCCAATGTTCTCTTCTTAAAAATAAGAAAAAATTTGCCTTTAACTTTAAGTATGTATATATTCCTTTTATTATCAGCTCCAAACATCACTGTGAAACATACTGTTCTGTCTTATACCTTAGTCCAGATGCTCAGAGGCAGGGGCCTGGCAGGCAAACTGAGGGAGAAAAGCGTGGGACTTCATGGGGGGTAGACTGTTCAGCAATGATCTTGTCACATGAGTTCTCACATTGGACTTTGAGCTCTGTGCATGGCTTTGCAAACATGAACCAACTTCCCTTATTTGAAATCATGTGTTTGGGAGTATGAAGCCTCTGCAGGAGCCTTCACCACTCCCTAATTTAATTTATTTCAGTGTGTATATTTGTGTGTGCCCACTGTGTGTATGGGTATGTGTATGGCCTTGAACATGTGGAGTCCAGAGGCTGACATCAGGTGCCCTCCACAATTGTTTCAGCACCTTATTATTTCTTGAGACTGGGCTCTCACTGAACTTGAAGCCCATGGACTGACCAGCAGATGCCGGGTATTCTCCAGTGTCTGCCTTCAAGTTCTGGGGTTGCAGGTGTAGGTCTCTATGCCCAGCTTTTAGGGTAGGTGATTGGGATCTGAACTCAGGTCCCCAAGCTTGCCTGGTGACCACTTTATGACCGAGCTGTCTCTGAAGCAACCCTAATTATATAGTAACATTTCATTACAATCACTGTGTGTGTGTGTGTGTGTGTGTGTGTGTGTGTGTGTGTGTAAATTTGAAGGGTAGAATTGGTGTGGAAGCAGACCAGTTGGTTTTATCATTTTCCCTCAGGTGTCTATGACCAAGCCATTTAAGAGACACCGCCTTAGATTATCATTTTCCCTTACTCTTGCCAGTCTAAGGGACAGAAATGACCTGTATTTCTGTTTGACCTTAAGCTTTAGATCTGACACCATAGGTAGCATTTTCTTGACACAGTAGACGATTTAGATAGACATTGAGATCCTTCTGGTGAATACTAGAAGGAAATGAAGCTCGACCTTGACTTTGCTAGCTTTTGGATGCCTGGAAGGTGATTGATATCCTCATTTCCCCTCTTTGCCAATGGCCCTAACAGGGAGCCATAGCAAATGGATTGATTATATGTGGGTTTTTGTGTCTTCAGGTTATCAAAGGGAACTGCTCTATCAGAGGGAAGATGGCTCCTTCAGTGCTTTCGGGGATAGTGACCCTTCTGGGAGTACTTGGTAAGTGACTTTTTTCTAATTAAACAAACCTGTATTATGGGATAGGTGTTTACTAGGCCACAGTGGCCCTGGAACTGACAGCCTGTCTATGTGGACATTGCAACTGCTTGCCTTTGAAAGATGTTTCTTAAAAAAAAAAAAAGCTTCTAAAGCATTTGTAAGTCAAGTGCTTCCCATTCAGAAAAGGAAAACAAAACAAACCACCTACACCTTCTTCTTCTTCTTCTTCTTCTTCTTCTTCTTCTTCTTCTTCTTCTTCTTCTTCTTCTTCTTCTTCTTCTTCTTCTTCTTCTTCTTCTTCTTCTTCTTCTTCTTCTTCTTCTTCTTCTTCTTCTTCTTCTTCTTCTTCTTCTTCTTCTTCTTCTTCTTCTTCTTCTTCTTCTTCTTCTTCTTCTTCGAGTTGGGGTTTTTCTGTGTAGCTTTGAAGCCTGTCCTGGCACTCTGTAGACTGGGCTGGCCTCAGACTCCCAGAGGTATCTGCCTGCCTCTGCTTCCCGAGTGCTGGGATTAAAGGTGTGAGCCACCACCACCTGGCTTTTTTTTTTCTTGAGGGAAAAGCAGCGACAAAAATCCTTTAAGATGACAAGAAAAAAAAATTCTGTTGTAACATTGGCCTTGCCATATTAGATTTATTAGCGTGAGAGCCTTGTTTAAAAGACTCTGTGCAGTTTCTTGAAAATGAAACAGTTAAGGGATTAAGTAAGAACTAGCCCGGGTGTCCTCCTGCATGGAATGCTTGTGGTTGATTTGGGACAGTTCACCTGACTCCTTGTTCTGACCGCCAGGGCTCAGGAGGTCTCCTCCATACAATGGGAGAGACCTGGATGCTACTGAGTGTGTCATGCTAAGCTGTGACCACACAGATCTCTTTGGGTTTTCCCTTGTCCGGAAGTCAGGGCATCTGTCAGTATACAGGTCTCTTTATGTGTCAGTTGGTGTTTTTGTCACGTTACTACCCTCTTGTTGGACACAGTGGTTTGTGCTTGTGATTCTAGCTCTTTGGATGTGTGGGTGGGGGACTGAGGCCAGCGTGGGCTACAGACTGAGAGTGCATCTCACCTCTGTCTACATGTCTCTCTCTCTCTCTCTCTCTCTATATATATATATATATATGATTCTTCTCTTCCCCTTTATCCCTTGCTTCTGCACTTTTCTTTTAACTTCTTTTCTTTCTCTCTTTAAACATTTCCAGGGCTAGGGAGATGGCACACTTAGTACAGTTCCTATCATGTAAGCATGAGAGCTGAGTTTGAATTCTAGAACCCATGTAAAAAGCTGAGCATGGGTGATATGTGCCTCTTACCTAAGGCTTGGGTGGAGGCAAGCAGGTCCTTTAAGCTCATTGGTCATTCAGTTTGGCACAATTGGTAAACTTCATCTTCAGTGAGATACCCTGCCTCAAAAAATAAAGAGGAGCCAATGAGGAAAGACATTCAATGTTGACTTTGGGCTTCTAACACAGGCACACACATGCACACCTCCCTACTCACATAGGTGTCAACATACACACACACACACACACACACATCCCTACTCTCAGAGGTGCCAACACACACACACACACACACACATGCACGCACATGCACACACACACATCCCTACTCTCATAGGTGCCAACACACACACACACAACACACACACATCCCACCCCACATGCATACCTCCTATTCACATAGGTGCCAAGCACACATGAGC